CCATAAATTTTCCCACTATGGAGGTTAGGCTTATTGGTCTATAGTTCGAAGCTAAGGACCTGTCACCTGTTTTGAAAATAGGTATCACATTAGCCATTTTCCACTTATCTGGCACCATGCCAGTTTGTAGTGATATGTTGAAAAGATTAGCCAAAGGTGTGCTAAGCTCCTCTTTACATTCCTTTAGAACCCTTGCATACAGTTCATCAGGGCCTGGGGATTTGTTAGGTTTAATTTATCTATTTGCCTAAGGACCATGTCACTTGTGACCCTAATCGTGCACAGTTTATTATCATCCTGTTCTACATAATTTATCATTACTGGAATATCGCTGGTATCCTCCTGTGTAAAAACTGAGAGGAAGTATGTGTTAAAAATTCTACACATTTCCTTATCACTATCAGTGAGCTGACCCGAGGAACTTTTGAGTGGGCCTATCTGTCCCTGATCTTACTCTGTATACCTGAAAGAATCCTTTTGGGTTAGTCTTCGATTCTCTTGCAACTTTAACCTCATAATCTCTTTTTGCTTTTCTAATTCCCTTTTTTATTTCTCTCTTTAACTGAATATATCGATTTCTTAATTGCCCCTCTCCTCTTTTGATTTGCCTATATGCGCCTCTCTTTTGACCAATCAGATATTTTAATCTATTGTTCATCCAATTAGGATCATTTTTGTTTGATCTGATTTCCCTATTTGGAACATAATTTGACTGAGCAGCTAGAACTATGCCCTGGAAAGCATCATATCGGCAACCATCACCACCTAAAATGTCGGGAGGAAGGGTCTAGTAACCCTTTCTCCTGTATAAATTATTAAATTTAAAAAGAGAAACTTTCGTTTTTTTTTAGGCCATCTTGCCTTGGTGGGATACAGCCAGTTTGTTTAAAGAATAATCTGTACCACCCTATCCTATAAAGATTAAAACTTACTCCTTAACTGCTGCATATGTTTTTCCTTCTATACTGTTATTACCCCAAACCCCTTTTCACTTTCAATTAAAGTAATATCATATTTTTAACCAAACACTAACATCTGCTTATGAGTAAGGCAGAATCAAGTTAATTATACTTGTTTGTAATGTTAAAAATATATTATTTTCCATCACATGCAACACCCAATTACAACACAGCAATCATAGAATGGACAGGATTCAAACCCATGACAAACCAATCCTAAAACTAGAGGGGCAGGTCTCTAACCAGTATACTATGTCAGCCTAAGAGGTTTCATCTAGTCATACACTGCCATCACAACGTGGCTCAAGCATATCATGCAAGGCTTTGTCGTTAAGCTTCTTGAAAACTTCTACCATTACCTCAATAACATTTCTGCTTTTCACTAGGTTTACTCTACACTTCAAACTGTATCTTTTACCCTAATAAGTTGTTACTGGAGTATGCAGATAAGGAACCTGGAGAAGCAGCAGCACTAGTAGTAGTATAATCAGCAGTAGCTGCAGCAGTAGTACTAGTGGAAGCAGAAGCAGTAGGAGTAGGAGCAGAAACAGGAGGAGAAGCAGTTCTTGGAGGAACAGCAGCAGTAGCAGCGGCAGTGGAAACAGCAGTGGCAGCAGCAGCAGTAGCAGTAGCAGAAGCAGTAGCAGCAGAAACAGCATTGGCAGCAGTGGCAGCAGCAGTGATAGAAGCAGAGGCAGTGACAGCAGTAGGAGCAGGATGAGAAGCAGGAAGAGGATGATGAGAAGCAGGATGAGAAGCAGCAGAAGGATGAGAGGCAGGAAGAGGGAAGGAGAAGCAGGACAAGGATCACAGCAGTGGCAGCAGAAGCAGAAAGAGAAGCAAAGGAGCAAGATGGAGGAGGAGTAGCAGCAGCAGCAGCAGCAACAACTGGAGGTGGAGCAGCAGCAGTAGCACAGCAGCAGCAAGAACAGCAGCAGCAGCAACAGTAGCAACAGCAGCAGCAGCAGCAGGAGCAAGAGGAGCAGCAGCAGGAGCAAGAGGAGCAGTAGGAGAAACAGCTGGAGCAAGACGAGGAGCAGCGGAAGTGGTAGCAACAGCAGTGGCAGCAGCGGCGTTGACAGGAGAAGCAGGAGTAACAGTAGTAGGAAGAGAAGCAGAAGGAAGGAAGAGGAGCAGGAGGAACAGTTTAATTCTATTTACATTATTCTTTATGGAAAAAACTGCTTTGGCTGTCGTCGATTTTGGTTGTCGAATCGATATCTGGAATGAATTGAATTCGAAAACCAAGGTTCCACTGTACCTATACATATCATATACAATGCTCATCATAAAAGCCATGCCCTACCCTGGTAGGTGTTTGGGCAAGACAAAAAGTTATGCTGACCTGTCTCAGTATTCCCTAAAGCTACTGGCTGCATCATAAGCTCCTTCTAGGTTTGTGTGGTGGATGGTTTTGTGTCTATGGTGACCCTGCATCATGGGGTCTAAATCAGAGTCAAGTTTGTCAGACATTTCTGGCTACTCGCAAATTAATATTAGCAGGAGTAGGTCACTGACACAAGAGAAAATTGCACAGATTATTGGATAACATGAGGGGATGTCATCCAATGAAGGAAATAATAAAGCCATCAATATGCATGAGCATTTTAGCGAGAACCTGGTGGCGTCAGTTCCTTGAGGACAGTGCTGATGACATGCCCACATGAAAAAACACATCCAGGGAAGCTCAGAAAAAAAGTCATATTAAGGATAACTTAATAGTATATCTAGAATTGCTCTTTTGATTGTTCTATCAAATCTATTTACCAATGTGGCAAAATGATTTTTATGCAAAACAGTGCTCCTTGCCCCATCGTGAAATCTGTTGCTTCGTTGCTTTGTGACTGTTAGGTACCCTTCTTCAATGATTGGCCATGAAAAAATTTGGCAAAATCTAATATTTCCACTAATTTGAGCCCAATTTTTAAGGCCCACTTCCAGTCCTGAAACTAACCAAAAATCATCTCGATTTCAAAGTATGACTTCCATTCTATCAAATGATACGAAAAACAGCCAATAAAAACATAAAAAAACATCCTAGAAAAAAACATGATAAAGTTTTTTTTTTCCATCATGCACTGCAGGAGCAGGTTTTTTTTTTATACTTGCACACTCACCGCACACCCCATTCTCTCATATCTAGGCCAAATTTACAGTCACGCTCAGAGCAAGTTGAGCTCATGACACTGAACTATGGAGGGGCAATGGGCCCCAATGACGAGTTTTATATAAAGGCCAATGAAAGGGTTTAAAAGTCCACTAAACTAAAATTTTCACTAAGTTTTTGTTACAAAAAAAATAATAATTTTCCCACAAAAACTGACTTAGGGACACAGCCCTAATTCTACTGTGGGTCCTTAACAAGAGCTATGAAAAAGAATTTAAGACTAATGTCATAAAATAAAATCACAGATCATAGACCGGGGACAAAAATGGGGTTTTTTAAAGAATAAAAAGGGATCAATGGAAAAAAATTTCACACCCAAATAAGCAAAAGGATGTTAAGAATATTATATTAAAGTAAATATAGTAAACAAGCAGAAAGAGCTGAGCAATGATAGTGAAAGCTGACTAATGGGTGTTCAAAACAAAGACATGGTTTAATCATGTCTGTAAAAAAAAAGGGGCAAAAACTGCAGTACTGCAACAGACTTTTTTTTTTTTTTTTTAACATGTCTGCCATCTCCTACCCAGGCAGGGTAACCCAAAAAAGAAAAAACACTTTCATCATTCAACACTTTCCCCATAAAAAAAATTACATACACAAGCTGATCCTCATGAAATTCAGGACAGTTTTAACCCCTTCAGGTCCACGGCCAAAATCTGAAGTGGTGCCCAGTGTCCAAGAATTTTCAAAAAAAAAAAAAAAATTGTTTTTTTTTTCTTATGAAATGTTTGAGATCTTTTGTGAAGGTAATAAAACAAAAAGTACGAAATTTGATGGAAAATATGACGAAATTATGCCCTCGCGAATTTTGATGTGTCAGCGATATTTACGAATCGGCGATTTTGCCAACTTTGGCTCCCATTTTAGGCCAATTACATTATTCCAGTTGACCAAATTCTTAACTATTTCACTAGTATTACTTCTATTCTATGATTGAGCACAAGAAATCGCCAGTCAACTGTTTCAACTACAAAATAAAGTGATCGGAAGTTGGTAATTTGGCCAATTTAACACAAAGTTCAAAATATTCCAATTTCAAAATAGGGTCCAGAATAAACAATGTAGGTATTCCTGGCACTAAACTAATCATTTCCTCTGTTCATTAGTTACATTTTGAGGTTTACAAAATAGATTCCATTTTGATTTTTTATTCACATAATGAATTTTTATTCACACCAAAAAATAGAAGATTTACTGTTATGCAATATTGTAATAATTGTATAAATATCATCACCACATTTGTGAATGTATATTAGACCCACCAGCTGGCGTGTATTAGACGTGTGAGATCGTTTGCTTACTCTGAACATCAGCAAAAATTTAACATTTCCGCTACTTTGAGCTCAATTTCAAGCCATTTCCAGTGCTAAAACCAATCAAAATCATCTCTATTTCTGTAATATGTCTTCCATTCTATCAAATGAGACCAAGAAATCGCATATACAACTATAAAAAACATTCAAAAAAACACTGCAAATTCGCTGTTTAATCGAAAAATCATGGTCTCAGTTTTTTCTCTCATTATACACAGTGTGCTGCAGGATTTGTTTTATGTGGTGCACACATACCACATAGATGTATTCTCCCATATCCAAATCCAAATGTACCACTCACAGTTTATCAGAGTGAGCTGAGCTCATGACGTAGATCTACGGTTTGGACCCTGAACGTAAAGCATAGATCTACGGGACGGACCCTGAAAGGGTTAAATTAACACAAAGGCTTCATGTTCAGTATATGTGACCACTCAGTGTCATTTAGAGTTTGACAAATACACTTCTTCACAGTGTAGGAATAACCCCATGATTAAACAGTAAAAACATTTAAACAAAATGCTCTAGAATTTTCAATATATCAACATGTTAATAACTAACCTGTATTTGTAAGACTAGGAATGTTTTGTCCTTTAACCTCTTCTGGTACTGGTGGTACCATGCCAGCTGCTGCAGCAGCAGCTGCTGCTGCAGCCATTCCAGAACCATCATCTGGGGCAGGTTGCTTCATTAAAATCTGCTGAATTTGCTGAATGAGACTTGGGTCCAGGTTGGTAACGGCAGCACTCATCACCTGGCTGGATACACTGGTTACCGGAACTGGGTGCTGTGCAAAGAGTCATGCTTAGTTCCTAACTTTCATAAAAACAAAATTCTAATTCTATTATTAATAGTAACATTATCAATGGATGTAATAAAAAGTTTAGTGTATCAGAGTACTAACACTTTTGTATGGGTTTAAGACATGGTCTATGTATGTTGTAATAAGTGACTGAAGGCTAAGGAGATAATGTTTGTTATCAATTTGTGGTGTAAAAATTTTATCCAAAGAATAAGACATGAAGAAATTAGAAGGAAGTATTATAGTATGAAATTCATTATTCAGAAAGCAGAAGAGGGATTGTTGGGTTGGTATGGATATTTATAAAGGCTGGAGCAAGCCATGTTGTCTAAGATGTATACATGTATATCTGGAATGGAAGAAGAGAGGTGTAGGTGACATCTCAGAAGGGGTTGGATGGAAGATGTGTTGGTGGAGGTTACGAGAGGAAGGGACTTTGATATCCAGCAGACATATCATAACAAGATAGATCACAACTGAAACTAGTGGTCTTTGAAATTTAGTGTGCTGAGTGTGAGCAAAGTAATAAATGTGAAGAAATTCAGAGAATCCAGTTAACAAGACTCGAATTTTAAAAATAAAAAGTAGAGTACCTGCTCTCTGAAGGTTGTGGAATATGCTGCAATTCAGTGTATCATTGGAATTGTTATCTGTACACTTCTAGACAGCTAGGGAATGAGTCATTGAAGTGTTTTCCTTCTTTGGACCACCATGCTTTAGTAGGAAATGACAGGTGTGTTATAAAGAAGATATATTCATCATCATTATTACACTATTTCTCCTTAAAAAAAAATAAAAGGAGCAGACTATCAGTTATAAATTCACATTAACTGCTAAGATTTCTTAAACAAAAAGAAA